GCTTTCCAGGGGGTTCCATTTTATAGTCAAGATTTGAACTGCTACTCTGCAGGTGCATTGGGTATTATCTCTCCAGCTGGTATTGTTAGCAGGCTTTTCCTAAAAGAAGATCCAGATTTTGCCCACCTTCTCTAAAAGGCTTTCAGAAACCCTTCCATGCTAGGTTGAAATATGACCCATGCCTAGATGCCCTCTACATATTAATGAAATAACCATGTCACCAAGGAAAATCATTTTATCCAACCTGACTTGTTCCTAGTGACCCACAGAGAACCCAGGACCCCCACTCCCTTTTCTAAATGTGCCCAAACCATCTTTTCACAATCTGTTTAGAGATCTTACCCAACACTGATGTCAATTCAGACTTTGGAAAATCAAATTCTTTACTTATTTAAAAACTAAAACACTGGTTTTTCTGGTCCTTCTGTTTTATCACAATTCCTCGAAGATGTTAATAATTGTTCAGCAACATCATACACAAATTCACTCTTAGAAGAAGTTGAGTTTCTCATATGGACTGAAATAGTCAGAGGAGGTAAGGTTTGAGTGGTATCTTGAAGCTCATGCCTGATTAATCTGAGTAGGGTGAAGGCAGTGAAAATGAAATTAAAACGGCCTGAGCCGGGGGTGCCCGGGTAGCTCAGTCAGTTAAGTGTCTGACTTTGGCTCAGGTCATGGTCTCGAGGTTCATGAGTTCGAGTCCCATGTCGGCCTCTGTGCTGACAGCTTGGAGCCTGGAGCCTGCTTCCGATTCTGTGTCTCCCTCTCTCTCTGTCCCTCCCCCACGTGCACTCTCTCTCTCTCTCTCTCGAAAATGAAAAAAACAGGGGCGCCTGAGTGGCTCAGTTGGTTGAGTCTAATTATGTCTCAGGTCATGATCTGACAGTTCATGAGTTTCGAGCCCCGCATGGGACTCTGTGCTGACACTCAGAGCCTGCAGCCTGCTTCGGATTCTGTGTCTCCCTCTCTCTCTGCCCCTCCTCTGCTCACGCTCTGTCTCTCTCTCTCTCAAAAATAAATAAACATTTAAAAATATATTTAAATAAACAAGCAAACATTTTAAAAAATTAAAATGGCTTGACCCAAGCAAGGTATGGACACACAGAACTGTGCTGTGGGCAAGAAGGAACTCAACGTTGGGTCAGGAAACAGTGTTATTCACCTGTAACTTAAGGACATTGTTCAGCTGGTGAGAAAGGAAGACTAAAAAACCCCTTTTGGTCGGGGTCCTGTGGTCACTGCTTTATCCCGTGTGATTCGTGGAGGCAGGATTATTGTATTTTTTGTCTCCATACTCCAAAACCAAACGATGCACCCTAGAGCGTAATATTCCACAAATGCTTGTTGAATAAACAGATGATCGAATGGATTTGTTTACAGGTGTTTATGGGGTCTTTTGTTTTTCACTTTGTCTTATTTTGTTTTTTAATGTAATAATCACACATATGGCTATTGTATTCTTAAGGCATCGCTGCGATTCTCCTGAAATGATCTACATGTTCTACTTGTAAAACGAGTGCTGTCTCCCACGAGCTATTTTTGAAGCTCTCATAAAGAACCATGTCTGTTTCTGACTACTACTCCCTAGCCACTGAAATCAAGCTTGGACATTTAGGGCACTGTTGACAAATATAACGCCTGGAAAGCTAAATTTAGCAAAGGACACACTGCCAGAAGGGCCCTTCTCCCTGCAGTCGCATCCAGTTTTCCCACTCCTTTTAAAAATAACCCATGACAAAATATGTCGGGGACAAAGGAATTCTTCAATCTAAAGTGAAGTGCAAGTTGGGTCATGTTATAGTTGTGTATGAGTAAGTCCTTCAGAAATGAACTTAATCACAATCAGTCTGAGAAAAATACATGGCAAAATGACTAAGCTTAGAGAAATGACAAATCTGAGGAACTAATACTACTGCTGAAATTGACAAAGCAACTGCCTGGGATGTAGATGAAGTGGAGAGAGTTGTTGACTTTATTTCTGTGCAGTTGATAAGGAAATGGTCTAGGTAGTGTTGCCTTTCATCATTTTCTGCATGCACTGCTTCTTGTGTCCATTGGAGGCTCTGCATTCCTTGCAAACACGGTCTATATATTCTTCACCACGGCATCGTCCATAGCACTCAGCAGTGTTTTATGTGCAGAAGGGACCCTTGAAAAAAATCTCTGCTGCTCCACTGATGACATTGATTCTATCTTTGCTGCTGCTGCTGCTGCTGCTGCTGGAAGCAAGGGAAGTCAACTTTAAAACATGCGATATGAGGGTTTAGAGAGCCCTCACAGATCCATTCTCATGGACTGGAAGAACCAATTCTGCTAAAATGTCCATACCACCCAAAGCAGGCTACAGATTTAATGCAACCCCTATACCAAACATATTTTTTTACACAGCTAGAACAAATAATCCCAAAATAGAGAGGGAATCACCAAAAAAAAACCCTAAATAGCCAAACGAGTCTTGAAAAAGAACAAAGCTAGAGTGGAGATATCAGACTTCAAGATATACTAGAAAATTGTAGTAATCCCAACAGTATGGTAGTGGCACAAAAACAGACACATAGATCAGTGGAACTGAATAGAGAGTGCAGAAATAAACAGAAGATGCTTATATGGCATATTAATCTTTGACAAAGGAGGCAAGACCATCAAGTGAGAAAAAGACAGTCTCCAACAAATGGTCTTGGGAAAACTGCGCAGCTACATGCAAAAGAATCAAACTGGACCGCTTTCCTATACCATACACAAAAATGAACTCAAAATGAATTAAAGACCTTAATGTGAGACCTGAAACCATAAAATTCCTAGAAGAAGACATAGGCACTAATTTCTTTGATATCAATCATAGGAACATTTTTCTAGATAGGTGTCTTTTGGCAAGGGAAACAAAGGCAAAATTAAACTACTGGGATTACACCAAAATACAAATCTTCTGCTCGGCAAAGAAACCATCAAAGAACAAAGAGGCAACATACTGAATGGAGGAAGATATTTGCAAATGACACACCCAATAAGGGGCTAATATCTAAAATATATAAAGATCTTATATAACTCAACACCAAAAAAGCAGTAATAATAATCCAATTAGAAATGAGAAGAGGGGGGCTCCTGGGCATCTCAGCTGGTTAAGCGTCTGACTTTGGCTCAGGTCGTGATCCCATGGTCCGTGAGTTCGAGTCTCGCATCAGCCTCTGTGCTGACAGCTCAGAGCCTGGAGCTGCTTTGGATTCTGTGTCTCCCTCTCTCTCTGCCCCTCCCCTGCTCACTCTCTGTCTCTCTCTTTCTTCCTCAAAAATAAACATTTAAAAAAAATGAGCCTAGGACCTGCATCGACATTTTCTCAAAGAAGACATTCAGATGACCAACAAACACATGAAAAAAAATGCCCAACATCACTAATCATTGGGAAACGGAAATGAAAACCACACAGAGATATTACTTCACACTTGTCAGAATGACTAAAATCAACAACACAAGAAATAACCAGTGTTGGCGAGGATGTGAAGAAAACGCAAACCTAGGCACTGTTGGTAGGAATGCTAACCGCTGCAGCCACTGTGGGAAACAGGCCGAGGGGCTCCTGTTGTGTCTGTGTTGGTTACAGCTACAAAATCCATGTAGCAACAGGATCCCACAGGTGTGTGTCCCTGGCTGAGGGGACGGGGGCTGCTGTTACTACCCCTCCCTCAGGACCCCTGTGTGTGTAACTGTCCTGGACATGTGTTCCGCTGCTTCTGCTCTGCGCATCCAGACAGCACCCTCCTGAGCCTCTGTCCTCCCTTGAGCCTTTGGTCACATGTTTTTATTATAACTCACATGGACACCGCAAAGGATGCTGTTGCTCAATGACAGTGGTCCATTCTAACTTCTTAAGAGGAGAAAAAATAAGAATAAGAAAAAAGAGGGGCGCCTGGGTGGCTTAGTCGGTTAAGCGTCCGACTTTCGCTTGGGTCATGATCTCGCGGTTCGTGGGTTCAAGCCCCGCGTCGGGCTCTGTGCTGACTGTCAGCTCAGAGCCTGGAGCCTGTTTCAGATTCTGTGTCTCCCTCTCTCTCTGACCCTCCCTTGCTCACACTGTCTCTCTCTTCAAGAAATAAATAAAAATATTTTTAAAAAAAAGAATAAGAAAAAAGATGTAAGGATTGCATATTACCTACATTATAAGAAAAAAATGATTTCATTAATGTTCAGACAATAAAATAAAGCCCTACACTAACTGTAACAAATAATTAGGAAGACACCAACAAAAAGCTATTACCATTCATTTAAAAACCAGAAATTGTGGCATTTCCCATCTTCAGCAAGGGATGTGCATTTGGGGATCAGTTCTGAACAACTGGAAGAAACTTGCGCGCACCAGGTCACAGGTGATGCCTTTGGAGATCTCTGGTCTGCCCTATGAATAGAACCTGGTCCTTTGTAGCATCCAGCTGGGCCTCCATACGTGCTCAGGGCTGACACAGCCCTTGGAATACACATCCACCCACCCTTGTTCACAGCGGCAAAGAAAGTGACGGGCCAAAAGGAAGAAGACATCCTATAGAGCAGGAGAGAGAAGCCCCGCCCATGTTAGGGTGTCTGCCCTTGGGTGCAGAGCTGTCTTGGAGATAAATAGATGTGTGTGTGATAAATAGATGTGTCTGTCTCTGGAAGTCGAATCTATATAATCACAAGGTTGAATGCTCTGGCATCCCAGTGGTCACACGATGCTGGTCATATCAAGTAACCATGATCACATCAGAGCCCGCAGGAGTTATAAATACACCACCACCGAGCCCCAACTGGATAACAATTGAGTAATGACAATAGAAATAGCTCACACTCCGTAAGACCGTCTTTCCCCTTCCTGAAGAACTCTCCTGAAAGAGCAGCATTGCAATGGAGAGATGGGCAGAGCCCGTTAGAGGAGAACTTCAAATCTTTCAGAAGATGGAAAAAGAGCTTCAAGCTAGAGCTGGGCCCCCAGTGCTCGAGTACCATGCTGCCTTGGTCACGGGCAACCTGAGCCGTCTTGAGCTGCTCACAAACCAGTTCTTCCAGGATGCCAATGTGGTGTTTGAGATCAAGAAGGATGAGATGGAGTGGCAGGTGAAATCCCCAGCCACATTTGGACTGTCAGGTACCCCTTTTCCTTTAAAGCTTGGCTGTTTATTTTTAAGGAGCTACTAACACTCCTCTGGACACGTTAAGTCCAGGGTGTAGACCACTCCCAGAGGAGCTGCATTTAACACACTGGAGCAAAGGACTTCTATAAACGAAATCTGGTTTTACAATGTTTTAAGTGATGATGTGTGAGAAATCAAATTAGAAAGGCCAAAATGATGGTAAGAAGTGCTCATCTGAGCACTGGAAGTGTCTGTTGTCTTTAAAAACGGGACCTTGGTTTGGGTGATGATCTACCAGTGGCTGCACCTGGCAGCTGGGGAGGCAGGAGACAGAGTGCTCCCGGAACTGTCCCCTGGCATGCAACCCTGCTCACGGGCCTTCTAGGAACCTGTGAGCACCACAGCTAAAACAGGGGGGCTGGGGCCCAGCCAGTGTCAGCAGAGGGAGAGCCCTTAGCAGGTGCTCCTCTTGGAACCCAGGGGAGCCCGAGAATGGGGGAGGGAGGGAAAGAAATCAGGGGTCCCTAAGTCATATGTCTAAGTGCATTCTTGTAGCCTGAATACTGCTCTGTGCTGGGCTGGCAAGAGACACGCCCGTCCAAGGAAAAGACACCCCTTCACCCCACTTGGGATGAAGAGACTTGCTGACCACCAGGCTGTTACCGGCGCTTTCTCGTCTCACTCTCTGCATTGGGCACCCTTCCCCCAGAGCATCCATATGCAACACCTTTACCATGAGGGTTCGTGTGTTGGCATCCATAGCAGCTCTGCCAGACTAAAAGGATTTGAGACGCTGTGGTCAGTGGGCCAACAGCCAGTGTCCCATGCCCCATGTGCCTGAATTGTGGGCTCCGGCAGGCAAAGAATGCAGAAGGTCAGGGGGCACCGGGGTGGCTCAGTCAGTTGAGCATCTGACTTCGGCTCAGGACGTGATCTAGCAGTTTGCGAGTTCGAGCCTCACATCGGGCTCTCTGCTGTCAGCACAGAGCCTGCTTTGGATCCTCTATCCTCCTCTCTCTTCCCCTGCCCTGCTTGACCTCTCTCTCTCTCTCAATCTCTCTCTCTCAAAAATAGATAAACATTTAAAATTTAAAAAAAAATTGCAGAAGGTCAGTTTCCAAAGAACTGACACGGTCCTCTTTATACCTCACCCAGGGAAAAGGAAATAAACCCAAAACACTGTCACAGGGCTGTACTCATTTTCCTGAGCTAGAAAGTCTACGTGTGGGGTTGGGGAGGGCTCGATTCATTGTTGAACGCTTGATTAATGCCAGTTTTCTTAATCACATACCTCCCAGCCCTGGACACACTCAACCACACTCAACTGTTGCTGTTTCAAATAGGTGTTAATGTTAACCCATGGTCTGATTCCAAAGGCTTCTTCCTTTTTTCTGCCTTAATCTTTCCACCCCTGAATTCTGCTGGTTTTCTCTGGCGTGCCACGCCCAAACAACAGAAAGGGCATTCCGGCCACAAAGGGGGTGAGCTGTTCCCTCGGAAAGGGGCAGTCCTTTCCGCCAGTGCTGGCCTCCCTGTAGACTGGGAAGAGACAGCGGGTGGCGCTCAGGGCTGCGACTCTCCATGCTCCCTGGGCTCAGCCACTCGACTTTTCTTGAAGCTGACCCCGGCAGCAGAAAGGACCAAACACGGCTTGCAAACAGCACCCTGTCTCATATGAGAACTTGCTGGTGGCCAATCCCAGCTCCCCCTGCGAGAACACTAGCAGGTTCGCAGTGCAGGCCTCCAGTACCTCAGTGTGTCCAGGAGGAAACACCAGCCCCACCCAGCTCGCACTCCAAGGCGAGCGTCGGCATGGAGAGCTGGCATCTGGAGGCACGTGCCACATGGGGAGAAGCCTATGTCCATGTTCCTCCTGGCGGCAGAACCTGGACCACCGAGCGGGGATTATAGGCGACTGATTCAGGCTTTCTGATCCACATGGCTGCCTCAGAACTTGGGTTTTCTTGAAGACCTAATGGAAGCTTACCACCATCTCCCAGGACCTGGACAGAGGTGCTGGCCCTAAGCTATGGCTGAGCTGAACGCCCAACCCAGACTCCTTCCTTCAGTCCTTGGGAAGACTCAGGGATCCAGGAGTGGGTGATCAGAGCTGCTGGGGGTGGATGGCGTTGGGTTGGGAACTTGGCGTGCCCAAGAGCATGGAGCACCCCATTCCTTGCCCTCCCCAACCCAGTAAGTAGACTTCCTAGCTCAGGAAAACGGGTACAGTCAGAGCCAGGCGCTGGCGGCTGCAGGAATGTAGACCACTGTTTCATCAAGGACCATAAGCGTCCATCCCCCTCCAAATCACACCCGGTCTTCACTGGGAAGGGCAGAACAAACCCGTGCAGACCCACATGCCAGGGCCCTGGCCACCACCATCCACCGCCAGGACGACAGGCCCCACACCCCCCACCTAAGTGTGCAACAACCTTCGGGCTGGGCCTCAGGGACACAGGGCAGGCTGGAACCCTGCACCACATGCAGGTAGGTAATTATGAGTGGTCTTTCAAAACCTGCTCAGCATGGGTCCCAGGAAGGAGGTGGCCTGTGAAAAGGGTCTCCTCTGCAGCTCATTACAGCCATGGTATCGATTCTTCCATCATTATCAGAAGGCATTCCTGCCATGTGAAATCCAGTCCCTTGAAGTGTATTCACCAGGGACTGCTTCCCCCATTTCCACGAGCGCTCCTGGCCGCTAACAACCTTCCATGGGCCTTTTGAAAGCCCAAAGTTTTCAGAGAAGTACAATGTGTAGCACCTGCTCCATTCATCCGTCAAGAAAGAGCAACCCTATACACACATGCGCACACACGCACACACACAACCCTAAAAAGCGCAAAGAAACAAACCAGAATTGTGCTGAATGTGGACATCACATCAAAGGGAGCTTCTGAAACCCAGCGGCTTCCAAGAGCACTAAACTTTCTAAGGCCTTTCCTTGAGCAACCTTGGTGCCGGGGGTCAGTTTGTTTCGCCCGCTGTCTTCTCCGTTAATGATAAAGGGATAAGTTTGGGGTTCAACGAGAGAGAGAGAGCTGGATTCCAGAAAAATCCACAGCACACTTTCCTCCCTCAGGCTGTCCCTAATTCAGAGCCTGGAAAATGTGAATCCCTGGCTTACAGTCTCCCGCCGTCCACCCACTTGGCCAGCTTCTCATTCCTCACATTATAGCCGAGTCCTCAGGGGCCCCCCCGGCCCCGCCGCGTATTTGGCAAGGTTCTCTTGCTTCTCAATACCCTCCATTCCCTCTGGCTTGGTTTTGGCCCTAATAATCTCCTTTTTATTCCTTTTCTCCCCCTTGCGTCTCCATCTTCCTCTCCGGTGCCTGTGAGGCTCTCCTTTCCGCTTCCTACACTTCATTTTCCTGGAGAGCTCTCTCTGCCCCTCTCCGCCTTTGTCTCTGCACGTGTCTCCCTAGAATGGGAGACAGCTCCCCTCCCCTCCCCTCCCCCTCCCCTCTCCTCTCCTCTCTCCTCTTCTCTCTGTGCGTCTAGCTGGACATCACCCGCATTCTTGGTTCAACCCTCTGCGTCCTTATATGCCTCTATATGGCCCGTCTGTCTTCATGTAGCTACATGCCCACCTGGTAGCTACTTCTAAGAGATGGTTTCACCCTATTTGGGCCTCAATGGCCACAGCCCCCACCGGTCTCTCCCTCACTGCACCCCTCCTCTCCCCAGGCCTCTGGACCCTGGAGTACAAGCGTGAGCTCACCACGCCTCTGTGCATCGCCGCGGCCCGCGGCCACACAGCCTGCGTGCGCCACCTGCTCGAGCGCGGCGCGGACCCCGACGCCAGCCCCGGGGGCCAGGGAGCCCTGCACGAGGCCTGCCTGGGGGGCCACACGGCCTGCGCCCAGCTTCTGCTGCAGCACGGCGCCGACCCCGACCTGCTCAGCGCCGAGGGCCTGGCGCCCCTGCACCTCTGCCGAACGGCCTCCTCGCTCGGGTAAGGACACGCGGCCCAGCCGGGGGCCACAGACCCTGACCCGCCGGGGCCGAGGCTCCTCGGGAGGCCGGCCACGCCCTGGGCCCCTGGCCCCGCCCCCAGGCTCCGCCCCTAGAGGCGGCAGCCTCCGCCCCCAGACCCCGCGGCCTCCGTGGTCCCTCAGGACCCAACGGGTCCCCCGCCCCATCCCTGGACCCTGCACCCAGACTCCGCCTGTCCCAGAATCCGGGACCCCGCCGCGGTCACCGCCCCGGGACCAGCCCGCCCCAAGCCCGCTGCGGACTCCGCCCCCCCGCCCTGTGCACCCCCACGCAGCAGCAGCACCCAGCCGGCCCCGGCTCTGCCCGCGGATCTCAGACCCCGCGTGCGCCCTGACCCCACCCACACGCTCGCCCGGGCCTCGGCCACCCTCTCGGTGACCCCGGACCGCGACCTACCCTCGGTCCCCTCTCCCCACCACCCGCCCCAGACCCTAAGTCCCTGACCCGGGGCCCGGGACGGACTGGCCGGAGCCCCTACCCCGGCCCTTGCCTCGCGACTCATACCCGGAGCCCCTAGGACCCCAGACCCGGACCCCACCGCACCCCGAGAGTACTGGATCCTCCTGGCGGCCAGGCCTCGGAGCCCGGGCCCCAGTTCGCAACCCCAGACCCCGACTCCCCGGACCCTCTGACCCCAGTGCGCAGCCCCGGACCCCGACTCCCCCGGACCCCAGGTCGCAGTCCCCGGACCCCGGACCCCAGTGCGCAGCCCCGGACTCCGGACTCCGACTCCCCCCGCCCTCAGGTCGCAGTCCCCGGACCCCGGACCCCGGACCCCGACTCCCCCGACTCCCCCGGCCCCCGGCCCCCGGGCGGGTGTAATTAGCGCTTGATTGCGAGCGCGAGGCGGGAGGCGCCACACCGAGGTAATGAGCGGGGTGATCACAGGCCCGCAGACGCCGGCGCTGACGAATGCTAAAAGGCCACTGGCGGAGTCGGAGGCTGAAAAATTAGGGTTTTTAATGATAATTTTATGCAGAATAATTGTCACAGTGTGACATAAATGGTTAGCGCCTCGGGCGGGGCTGCGGAGTCCCACGGGAAGCCGCGCTGCGCCCCGCGTCGTCGCGCGCCTGCCCGGGCGCCGGGGCTCGGGGTTCTGGAAGCTCCGCGGCTGCCCCCCCCCCGCGGCCCCCCTTCCAGGGCGTCTGTCCCCGCGGGGCCCCCGAGTCCCGGGGGGAGGCAGGCGGCGCGCCGCGTCGTAGCGCGGGGTTCTGCTTGGGGTCTCGGCTTGCATTGTCATCGTGACACTTCGTGAGTCAAGATGGCCTGGTCCCTGCCCTTGGGGTGTAATTGCCGGCCTTCTCTCGCTGCGGCGGGGACTGAATCACAGCACCGCGTTAAGAACAGGCAGGGCCACGGGGCTCTCGGGGACCCAGGCTGGGCCACCGCCTTCCAATGTCACTCGAGAGAAGAACAGGGACCAAGAAGGGCATGAGGACTATTGGGTCCTGAGAGTGACTACAGGAAAAAATATTCTAAATATATATGTATTCTTTTTAAGTGTATTTATTTTGAGAGAGGGCGCACCTGCAGGAGCGGGGGAGGGGCAGAGAGGGAGCGAGAACCCCAAGCTGTTTGGGGCGCGGGACCTGATCACACCAGACAGGACTCCATCTCACCAACTGTGAGATCATGACCGGAGCCCAGATGGAGTCCCATGCTTAACCCCCTGAGCCACCCAGGCGCCCCCTAAAAATAGGCTTTTTAAAGCAGCTTCCCTCAGTGTCACTGGCATACGGTAAGTTGCACTTGTTTTAGGTGTGCAGTTGGCTACCTCTGGACCGACATATGCATTCAGGAAATCAGCCCCACCATCAAAGTGGTGAACATGCCCCACACTGTCAACAGTTCACGGTTATGCTGCCTCCCCTCCCCCATTATCATCCCACTAATCTGCTTTTTATTCACTATCATTTATCTGAATTTGCCAGTATTTACATTGTGTCTGACTTCTTTCATGCAACACAATTACTTTGCGATTCATCATATTGTTTGGTGCATCCATAATTCACTCTTTCCCACTGCTGAGCGGTACCCCCGGTATGGGACCACAGTGTGTTTATCCGTGTGCGTACGTCGAAAGACATTGGATTGTTTCCAGTTTGGGGCTATCACAAATAAAGCTGCTATGAACATAAAGTTCTAGCTTTTGTATGGGTCTATGCTTCCATTTCTCCTGGACGTGTGCCTAGGATTGGAATGGCTGGCTTGCATATGAGTAAAAGGTAACCTTTTCACGCCAAACTGTTTCCAAAGTCATTGTGGCAAGTTGCATTCCCACCACCGGTGTATGAATGTTCTAGTTGTTTCACATCCTTGCTAGTGGTCGGTTTCGGTCACTCTTTAATTGTAGGCATTCTAATAGGTGTGTGGAAACATACTATTGTAGTTTTGATTTGCAATTCCCTAAAGACGAGTGATGTTGAGCATCTTTTCCTGTACCTGTTTGACATCTATAGGTCTTCTTAAGCGAAGTGCCTGTTCAAATCTTGTGCCCTCACCCTTTTTTGACATTGGGTTGTTTTCTTCTTAAAACTTGAGATTCCTTTATGTATTCTGAATTCAAGTCCCTCATCAGACATATAATTTGAAAATATTATCTCCCAACCTATGGGTTGTATCTTCTTTTCTTTAAAATATGCCTTTTAGGAAAATAAATGCCTTTTAGGGGCTCTTGGGTGGCTCAGTGGGTGTCTTCTTGATTTCAGCTCAAGTCATGATCACACAGTCATGAGACTGAACCCCACCTCAGGGTCCACACTGAGCATGGAGCCTGCTTGGGATTCTCTCTCTCTCTCTCTCTCTCTCTCAAAATAAATAAACACTTTTTAAATGCCTTTTGAAGAAGAGCAATTCTTAATTTTGGTGGAATCAGCTTATCAATTTTTTTCTTTAGAAATTACCCTGGGTTATAATATCTAAAATAATAATAATAATCTTTGCCTAACCCAGAGTCACAAACATTTCCTCCTGAATTTTCCTCTATAAATGTAGTAATTTTACTTTTTGCATTTAAGTCTGTGACCCATTGTTTGTTAATTTCTGCATATGGTGTGAGGTATAGATTGAAGCTTTTTCTTTGCATGCAGATGCCCAAGTGTCCCATCGCCATTAGTCAAAGGGTCTTTCCTTTCTCCACTGAACTGCCTTTGCACTTTTGTCTAAAATCAACTGACCACACATGAGTGGGTTTCTTTCTGGACTCTTCTAAGGGTATACACGGGACAAAGCCTGACTGATTCAATTGATACAGAGCCACTCTTAAACTCAGACCATTTATCACTTATATAAACGGTGAAAAGAGGAGTAGCCAAAGGTGCCAGTGCCTCATCCCACACGCCCAAGAAGGACAAGTCCTGCCAAGACTTAGATCAACGGTGGCTCCAGACCTTTGCTTACATACTCTGTGTGGAAACATGCAGGGTTACCAGGGCTCCGCGGCAGAGCCATTCCTCTATATTTGTATTCAATTTTATTGGCCAATTTGTCCATTTTGACACCAGTACCACATTGTATTGAACACTATAGCTCTACAAGAAATCTCGAAGTTAGCTAGTGTAAGTTCTCAGGTGTCGTTCTTTGCCAAAGATGTTTTGGCTATCCGAGCTCCTTTGCATTTCCCTGTAAGTTTTAAAACCAGTTTGTCAATTTCTATTTTTTTTTAAAAAAAGCTGCAGGGTTCTGACTGGGGTCAGAATCAACCTTGAATCTCCTCAGTTGGCCTATAGATCAACCTATAGATTTGGGGAGAACCGACATAATAAATACAAGAAAGCTCTCCATTTCTTTGGGTCTTTAATTTCTCTCTGCTGTGTTTCTTAGTTTTCAGTGTACAAGACTGGCACATATTAGGTTCCTCCTTAAATATTTTTTGGTGCTTTGTAAACAGTATTTTTTTTTTAATTTTTTATTTATTTCTAGGAGAGAGAGAGAGACAGCATGAGAAGGGGAGGGTCAGAGAGAGAGGGAGACACAGACTCTGAAACAGGCTCCAGGCTCTGAGCTGGCAGTCAGCACAGAGCCCGACGCGGGGCTCGAACCCACGAACCACGAGATCATGACCTAAGCCAAAGTCGGACGCTTAACTGACTAAGCCACCCAGGCGCCCCTAAACAGTATTTTTTAATTTAAATTTGTGATTGCGTGTAGCTGTTATATAAAATTAATAATTTATTTTTTCTTATTGATCTTGTATCTTGCAACCATGTTAAAGTCACTCATTGTTCTCATAACTCATTGTAAATTCCATAAGCTTTCCATGCAGGCAACCATGTGATCTTTGAATAAACCCAGTTTTCCTTCTTCACCTGATGCACTTTATTCCTTTATCTTCCTTTATTGCACTGGCTAGAATCTCTAGTGCAATTATGAAGAGAAGTAGTAAGAGCAGACAACTTTTCTTACTCTTGATCTTAGAGGAAAGCCTAAGTCTTTCACTATTAAGTAAGATATTAGATATTGGATTTCTGTAGACGAACTTTTTCAAATTGAGAGAGCTCCCCTCTATTTCTAGCTTGCTGAGAGTTTTTATTATGAATTGATACTGAATTTTCTCAAATGCCTTTTCTGCATATTTAGAGATGATCATACAGTGTGTTTTTAGTCTGTTAGTATAATGATTTACATTGATTGTTTTTCAAATGGTAAACCAACCTTGCCATCTTGAGATAAACTACAGTTGATCAGGAGTATATCCATTTTAATAATTATTGGGCTTGATTAGCTAGAAAAAAATTTTAATCTGTACTTAGTGTTCATGACAGATACTGGTCTGTAATTTTCTTTTCTTGTAATGTCTTTATCTGATCTTGGTATCAGAGTAACACTGGCCTCAAAAATGAGTTGGAAAGTGTCTCTTCCTCATCCATTTTCTTGAAGAGCTAGTATAAAATTGTTATTATTTCTTTCTTAAATGTTTGGAAGTGGGGCACTTGGGTGGCTCAGTCAGTTGAGCAT